TCTCTTTCTCTCTCTCTCTGGTCAAATTAAAAAATATTAACAACAAACAGAATTAAATAAACAAATTATTATTATAAAAAAAGAAGGGACATTCTTCAACATAATAAAAGTCATATATGACAGACCTACTGCAAACCTCATACTGAATGGGGAAAGCTAAAAGCTGTCCCATTAAGAACTGGAACAAGACAAGGCTGTCCATTCTCACCACTCCCTTTTAATACAGTGCTGGAAGCGCTAGCCAACGCAATCAGACAAGAGAACAAAATAAAAGGCATTCAGACAAGAAAAGAAGAAGCTAAATAGTCCCTATTTGAAGATAGGTTACATACCTAGAAAATCCAGGAATCCATGATGAAACACTTAGAAGTGATAAATGAATTCAGTAAAGTTGCAAGATACAAAGTCAATATACAAAAACCTATAGCATTTCAATTTTGGATGGTCAGAAATGTCATGATGTATTTTTCTGCTTTTCTATGCAAAAATGCATCAAGACATTTCTGATGACCCAATACATCAACAATGAACAGACTTGAAGAAAGCAATCTCATTTAAAATAGCTACAAAACAAAGACACCTAGGAATAAATCCAACCAAAGAGGTGAAAGACTTCTATAAAAAGAACTTGAAAAACTGAAAAAAGAAATTGAGTATGAGGGACCAGCAGATAATGTAATGGTAACATCAATGAACTCCCACACAGTCGACCAAGGTTTGAGTCCCAGACTCGGTGGCTTAAAGCTCACACTGGGTATGTGTACATGCATACCTAAAATCCCAAGAGGAAAATGGAGGAGAAAGGACTGCAGTGTGGCCATCCCTTCTGGGGGGTGATTTCTCACTTTCCATCTCTCTGTCTCTGTTTCTCCAGTGAGCTCATGCACTCTATAGCAAAAATCTCTCTTAAGGGGAAAAAAAATTAAAAAGAAAGAAATTCAGTATGATACCAAAAAGTGGAAGGATATCCTGTGTTCTTGAATTGGAAAAATTAATAATAATCAAAATGTCAGCTTACCCAAATTAATTTACATATTTAATAAAATTCCAATCCAATTACTTGAGACAGTCTTCATAGAAAAAGAAAAAACAATTACAAAATTTGTCTGAAATTAACAAAAATAGACCTTGTATTGCCAAGGCAACACTGTACCAAAAAGTAAAATAGGAGGCATGTTACAACTGACTTTTTAAAGTGTATCACAAAGCAGTGAAACAACATGATATCGGCACAAAAATACACAGACCAATGAAACAGGATAGAGAATCCAGCAATAAAACTGAAATCATACGTCAACTGATCTTTGATAAAGGGCATAAGACAATGCCGTGGAGAAAAGAAAGTCTTCTTAGCAAATAGTGTTGGACAAACTAGGTAACCATCTGCAGAAAAATGAAGCCAGACCTCTCTCTCCCACCGTTTACTAGAACTAGCTCAAAATGGATCAAAGATTCAATATCAAGTCTCTAACTACAAAACTACTAGTAGAAAACTTAGCAGAAACTTTTGAAGACACTAGAGTAGACAATTTCTTAGGAAATGGTCCCTAAAATAGATAAGTAGGATTACAACAAGCTAAAAAGCTTTCCTCACAGCAAAGAAAACTATTAACTATAGTGAAAAGACAACCCTCGGAATGGGAGAAAATATTTGCAAAATCTTCCTTAGACAAGGGATTGATATCTAGAATATACAGAGAACTCAAGCAGCTCGCCCATTAAAAAATGAATAATCCAATTTAAAAATGGGCGAATAAACTGAATAGACATCTCTCCAAGGAAGACTTACGAATGGCCAAAAGACATATGAAAGAATATTTAAAGTCTCGTTGTAAGGGAAATGCAAATTAAAACTACAATGAGATACCACTTAACCCCAATCAAAACAGCTAGGATCAAAAATAAATAAATAAATAAATAATGACAAGTGTTGGCAAGGCTGCAATGAAAAGAGAACTCTCTTATACTATTGGTAGGAATGTAAATTAAATTAGTTCAATCTCTGTGGAAAACAACATGGAGATTTCTCAAAAATTTACAAACAGAACTTCCATATGACCAGTAATCCCACTTCTTGGTATTTATCCAAAGGACAGGAAAACACTCAATCAGAAAGACATTTGCACATTTCTGTTTACTGCAGTATTATTTACAATTGCTAAAACATGGAACCAATCTAAGTGTCCAAAACCCAATAACTGGGTTGAAAAACAGTGCTACATATATATACTATGGAATATTACTCACCCATAAGAAACAATGAGAGCCTATAGTTTAATTCAAAATGGATGACAGAACACTTAATCTTGAGTGAAATGAGCAAGACTTTGAAAGATACACATTGAATACCCTCATTCAACTTGTACTGAGTGTCTGCACCTTATGGCAGAGCTGAGAGAGCTGAAGATGTGATAGTGGAGAGGACGGATGTGGATGCTATAGACTATAAGTGGGAAGGGTGGATGGTGGAGTGGGTGGTGGAGGATGAATGTTTGGTACAAGGATAAAAACATTTAACAGATAGAAAAATGTTAAAAAAAAGAAAAAAGAAAAAAAACTGTTCATTATGAAATTAAATTCTATTGTGCAGGTTATTTCACAAATTGGTTTAATAATATATGTTCATTAGGATTAAAGTATGCATGATGACATTTCTAATCATCCCCGTAATTTAATTTTTTCTTTTTTTTTTTTTTTTTTGGTGGGGTTTTTGCTGTGGGGGCGCGCGGTGAGGTTTTTGCTGTAGGGCGCGTGCGCTCGCCAGAAAGACAGAGAGATAGAAAGCTAGAAACCACCCCCAGGGAGGATGGCCACGCTACAATCCCTTCTCCTCTGTTCTCCTCTCAGGATCATGGGCACACATGCACTTGCACCCGGTGTGAGTTTAAGCCACCAGGTCCGGGACTCAAACTGTTGTCAACTACATGGGTATTCAGTGATATAACCATTACACTAACTGCTGGTCCCTCATCCCAATAATTTCAAGCTAACTGTTGATTTGTCATATATTTTTCATTTGTATCCTTGATTATAACTTCACTGAATAATAATTTTAAAAAAACTCTAAACTACTATTCATGATGAGACAAAATATACACATATATTTACTGTGGGATATATTTAAAATATATGTGTGTATAAAGTTAACTGTATTATATATGTGTGTGTATAAATATCTATATATTTAGAAGGACCTAAGAAATCACCTGCTCTGACACCTTTATTCCACAGAGGAGCAAGACAGTGGCCAGAGGTTAACAGACTCTTCAAAAGTCACCAAGTGTCCGGAACAGATGCGGGAGGAGAGCGTCTAAGCTCAGGCTATTTTTCTTTCCACTAAAGCAGAGGTAGGAAACTAGTTGACCACCTGTTTGTGGAAACAGTTTTCCTGGGACACAGCCACGGGCATTTGTTTCTGTATCTGCTATGGCTCTCACATTGTCGTAGCACTCTGAGTGACAGATCCGATGACCAAAAGGCTCAAAATATTTGCTGTCTGGTCCCTTACAGATAGTTCACCCCCTCCAGCACTCTGCCTCCTAAAATGGTATCTAAATATCTACAATAACCTGGATCTTACCCATGCGTCATTCAGTCTTAGAATGCCCAGCTAGTAATAAAACCAGGTGATTAGCTTAGCTGTTGTGAAGTAAACAATAAATGGTGTTATCTACACACAGAGCATTGGATCAGTTCCGTAGCCTAGTGATTAATGGAGCTGGCTCCCATATGGTCAACCCCATAGTTCAAGTCCCAGTCCCAGTGGTTTGAAAAGCATGTCAGGTACTGGGCACATGCAAGTACATGCCCCAAATCCTGATGGGGTAGAAAAGTGGAGAAAAGGACCAGCAGTTGGCATAATGGCTACGTCGCTGGACTCCCATGTAGTCAACCTCGGTTTGAGTCCCAGACCCGGTGGCTTAAACTCACGCCAGGCGCGTATGCGTGTGTGCCCAAGATCCCGAGAGGAGAATGGAGAAGAAGGGATTGCAGCATGGCCATCCCCCCAGGGGGTGATTTCTCGCTTTCTGTCCCTCTGTCTCTCTCCATCTTTCTGGTAAGCACATGTGCCCTATAGCAAAAACCTCTCCAAAAAAAGAAAAGTAGAGAAAGAGTTTTTTGTTTTTTTGTTTTTTTTTTTACAAAAGACCATTCTTGATAACCTATACCTTAGCTGTTGATAACCTACACCTGACCATTAAAGTGTGTTTGTATTTATGTATGTAAGTTATATGGACGTATACACATACACACACAAATACATTTATAATGCACCAAGATGAGAAAAAGATGCTCAATGAACCTGTCAACTTACTGTTTTTCTCTCAGTCTCTCATACATTTCCATGTCAGGTTTGATCTGTTTGGTCAACCGATGATATTGGCGTAACTGGGCAGCAGCATAATCTAAAAATAAAATGAGGAAAAGGGATAATGTATTTCCTTGTTGGGACGTTACTATGCAGAGAAAGTCAAAATTATTATTGAGACACATATGCACCAGACATTAACCTAAGCACAGCCTCTATCCAGAAATTGTTGATAAACAGACTCTGATCAGTTTTGCCAAAAAGAATAAAAGAACCCCGCTGACTGAAATGCAGCCTTTTTCACTTTCGCCCCATAAGATATACTGGTATTTTTCCTGGGTTTAGGCTTGTTAGAGATTAGTCCATGAAGAAAGCACAAGGGCACACCTGTCTTAAAACCAGAAGCAAAGGGGGCTTAAGGTGGTTAAGGTGCTGGACTTGCACATGGCCAAGCCCTGGACCTGGCAGCTTGCTTTCTCACTTTCCCTCTCTCTCTGTCTCTTACTGATTAAAAAAAAAGGTCAGGAACGAGCAGTTAGCGTAATGGCTATGTCGCTGGACTCCCACGTAGTCGACCGCGGTTCGTGTCCCGGACCCGGTGGCTTAAAACTCACGCCGGGCGCGTGTGCATGCGTGCCCAAGATCCCGAGAGGAGAATGGAGGAGAAGGGATTGCGGCATGACCATCCCCCCTGGGGGTTGATTTCTCGCTTTCTGTCTCTATGTCTCTCTCTGTCTGTCTGGTGAGCGCACGCGCCCTACAGTGAAAATCTCTCCAAAAAAAAAGGTAAAAATAAGGGCCAGCAGGCGGCATGGTGGTTAAGTGCACTGGATTCCCACATGGCCACCCACGGTTCATGTCCCAGACCTGGGGGCTTGCGCTCTCACCTTCCCTCTCTCTCACTCTGTCCCTCTCTGGTCAAATTTAAATTAATTAATTCTTTTTTAAAAGAGCAAAAAATAATAATAATAATAAATACAATTAAATAAATCATTCTTAAAAAAATAAAAGAAGCGACCAGCAGGTGGTGTTGTGTTTAAGGTGCTGGACTCCCACATGGCTGACCACGGTTTGAGTCTTGGATTTGGCAGCTTGCTTTCTCACTTTCTCTCTCTCTCTCTCTCTCTCTCTCTGTGTGTGTGTGTGTGTGTGTGTGTGTGTGTGCTCGGTTTGAGTTCCAGACCTGGCAGCTTGCTTCCTCACTTTCCCTTTCGCTCTCTCTGTCTCCCTCTGTTCAAATTAAAAGATAACAACAAATTGAATTAAATACTTTTTTTTAAAAAAAGAAACAAACAAAGAAACAGACACAAAGAAGACAATACCTGTCTAACAGGGCCTTAAAGGTCAATTTTACCTGAAAAACCTAGGTCAGGGTTTTTCCTCTTCTTCTTCCTCTCCCATCTCTCGGCATCTTCAGCACTGATCTCTAGCAGCTTCACTTTCTCATAGTCTTCCCCTCTAGCTGCACATTCCTAAAAAGAAAAAAAAAAAAGGATATCCAGATATCTACAATATGACACCATTATTTGATCTATTCCAATAAAGGTGTCAAGCCCTTAAAAATGATCATTAACATGTGGAGAAACTAGAATCTGCTGTGGCCATAAAGAAGTGGACATATGGGAACCAGCAGTTAGCGTAATGGCTATGTCGCTGGACTCCCACGTAGTCGACCGCGGTTCGTGTCCCGGACCCGGTGGCTTAAAACTCACGCCGGGCGCGTGTGCGTGCGTGCCCAAGATCCCGAGAGGAGAATGGAGGAGAAGGGATTGCGGTGTGACCATCCCCCCGGGGGGTGATTTCTCGCTTTCTGTCTCTATGTCTCTCTCTGTCTGTCTGGCGAGCGCACACGCCCTACAGTGAAAATTTCTCAAAAAAAAAAAAAAAAAAAAGAAGTGAGCATATGATACTTACCAAGTGTTTATTAGGTGTCAGACCCTGCTTTACATACATGCATTCATTCATTTACTTCCTAATTCTCTCATTATTATTCTAGTCCTCATTTTACGGCTGAGAAAACGAAGTACAGAGAGGTTAAATAACAACGCCCAAAGTGTTGCAGGCTGAGATGAACAGACCTGACATTGAACTTCTGGTGACTTGGTTCAGAGCCAGGGTACTCGACCGCCCTGTTCTCCTGTCTTAACACAAGAGAATAGCTGAATATATCACTTAGGAAGATGATGGTAGTTGCTAACCTTTTTCTTTTCTTCTTCCTGTAGTTCCCATTCCAAACGAGCTTTTTTGGCTTCCCAATTTGCAGGTAACTTAAGTCTTTTATCTTCTTCTACAACTTCCTGGTGATTTAATTTACGAGCTTCATTCTAAAACCATAACACAAAAAGTACATCAGCTGAAACATAAAAATAAATCCTACCTTCTCCACATATTACCACATTGCCATGCTGATCCCATTCTATCCTAAAAGCAACAGAGAACCATCAAATGCTTTTTTTTTTTTTTTTTTTTGTGGCTTTTTCTTATGGGGTTTTTGTGGTTTTTAGAGCTTTTGCTATAGGGCATTGTGTGCTTGCTGCAGAGACAGAAAGAGACAGAGAGACTGAAAGTGAGAAATCACCTCCTAGGGAGGAGGGCATGCTGCAATCCTTTCTCCTCTATTCTCTCCTGGGATTCTGGGCACATGCACACAGGCGCCCAGTATGAGTTTAAAGCTGCCTGGTCCAGGACTCAAACCATAGTTGGCCACATGGGAATCCAGTGCTTTAACCACTATGCTACCTGCTGGCTTCTCATCAAAGAATTTTAAGCAAGGAGATAACCTAATAAAGTCTCCATTTGTATATAGTCAAGAAAAATGTGTGGGACTGAACTAGTCCACTGCTCCAGAGCCCTAGGGGTTAACACCAGTTTTGCTTTTGTTTAGCTGTGTGGTCCCTCTAGGATGGAACAGAACAAGGTTTCCTGACATTGGAGAGCCATACTACAATGGCAACTGAGACTTAAATTAAACGGCATTAAGTTATATTAAAACCACATGATATGAAAAATATTCTACTTCCAGTTCTTTTTCTTTTCTTTTTTATTTTTTTAAGGTTTTTGCCATAGAGCACGTGTGCTCACCAGAGAGAGAGACAGAGGGAGGGAAAGTAACAAATCACCCCAGGGGGATGGCCACCAACCCCTTCTGCTCCGTTTCCTCTCAGGATTTTGGGCATATAAACACACATGCCCAGCGTGATTTTCTTTTCTTTTCGAAGAATTCTTTTTATTTAACTTTATTATTATTTCATTTGAGAGACGAAAAGAGAGAGAGAGAAAGTAAGAAAGCAAGTCACCAGGCCTGGGACTCCAACCGCAGTCAGGCCTATGGGAATCCAGTGCCTTAACCATCACACCACTTCTGGCTCCTCAATTCTCTTTTAATCCTGATTAATTCAATGAAAACCCTCAATTTGGGGTTGAGGGCTAACACCCCACTTAGCATCTCTGACCCTTTCCAAGTCCCCCTTCTTTTTTAACTATGTTAACAGTTCACATTATGACAAATGAAGGGGACTTTCTATTTGAAGTACTAATAAACAGTCTATCTTAAAATAAACATAACTGCCTAAAACAATGTACAGGGCGCACGTGCTTGCAGGAGAGACAGTAAGAGGCAAAGTGAGAAATCGCACCCAGGGGGATGGCCACCCTGCAATCCCTTCTCTTCCATTCTCCTCCCAGGATTTTGGGCACACAAGCATATGCGCCCAGTATGATTTTTCAAGACACCAGTTCCGGGACTCAAGCCACGGTTGGCCATGTGGAAATCAGCACCCTAAGCACCACGCCACCTGCTGGCCCCAGTACATCATCATAACAAAAATTTAAGTTTGATTTTTTTTTGGGGGGGGGCCTCTATTTTGTTTGTTTTTCTTTTTTGAGAGGTTTTTGCTATGGGGCGTGTGCACTCACCAGAAAGACAGAGAGAGACAGAGAGACAGAAAGTGAGAAATCACCCCCCAGGGGGGATGGCCACGCCATAATCCCTTCTCCATTCTCCTCTCAGGATCTTGGGCGCGCACGCACACGCGCCAGGCATGAGTTTTAAGCCACTGGGTCCAGGACACGAACCACGGTCGACTGCTTGGGAGTCCAGTGACACAGCCATTATGCTAACTGTTGGTCCCTATGTTCGACATTTCTTAGGTCTCAGGCTGGTGCCAGTTAGTCTAAGAAGCCTTGTCTCCTAATTTCCAGACATGTGCCCTTTACACAGTTCTTCTAGGTACAAATTTAGCATGACTGTAGTTGTTTCTGGGCAAAGAGGGATAACTCATCTTAACTGCTACCCTCATACACTCCTGGTTCTGGGAATGCCCTCAAGTTATGAGACCAGAAATACAACTGTAGTCAAACCAACATGAGCTTCCTATGTTAAAAGAGAGACCAAACCATGGGCATTTCAGTAAGAGGGTGTTAGGAGGGACTAGTTACAGAATTTGGGTTTGTATCAGGTGACTGGGGGAGGATCTAAAGCTATGACTGGACACCGTCAGAAAGCGATGACATGGTGGTTGAGATGCCGGACCCCCACTTGGCCAACCATGGTTCAAGTCCTGGACCTAATGGCTCGAGTCCCCACCTAGTAGCTTGCTTTCTCTCTTTCTCTCTCTCTCTGGTGAGCACATGTACCCTATAGAAAAATAATAATAATACTTTGTTTATTTACTTATTTATTTATTTAAATTTGACCTGAGAGGGACACAGAGAGAGAGAGACAGAAAGTGAGAAAGCAAGCCGCCAGGTCTGGGACTCGAACCGCAGTTGGCCATGTGGGAGTCCAGTGTCCTTAACCACCACATCACCTGCCGCCCCAATAATTTTTTTTTTAAAAAAAGGCACTCTAGAATTAGTTTAAACTTTTATACAGGAGGCAGGAGTAATGCAGTGAGACTAATGTACTTCATGTTGGCCAGAGAAGGACACGTGGCCATCCCCATGGTGTCACTACGGTAGTCAGAGAGGTTGGGTGACGTGGAAGCATTGCCTCGCTGTCAGTCAGGCACTTCAAGCTAAAATGGCCTAAGGCTGTCTCTCTTTCTCAACTCCAACTCCAGCCAGCAGTTTGCTGGACTCTTATCCCTAATACAAATTCTTTTTGGCATTTGTTCCTACTGCTTATATAGCTCTTCCTCCTACTCGCTGATGTGTCTGATAATATCATACTCATCTTTCAGAGAATAGTTTTTATGTACTGGGAGCCCCAAACTGCACTAATCTCTTGTCCTCCACACTTCCAGGGCACTGTGCTCCTACCTCTGGCACCACGCTTTCCACAGAACAATTTCTGGCTGGACAGCTGTGTCCTCTACTTTACAGCAAAACTCTGAGTCTTTTTTTCTTTTTTCTTTTTTGAGAGGTTTTTGCTATAGGGCACGTGTGCTCGCCAGACAGAGAGACAGAAAGTAAGAAATCCCCCCCCAGGAGGGGATGGCCACGCCACAATCCCTTTTCTTCCATTCTCCGTTCAAAATCCCAGGAGGAAGGGACTGCAGGGTGGCCATCCTCCCAGGGAGTGATTTCTCACTTTTTCTTTCACTGTCTCTCTCTGTCTCCTCTCAAGCAAACTCTCTAGTCCTTCATGCCCCATGGCAAAATCTTTAAAAAAAAATTTATTTTTTGATTCACCATCAACTGGTTGAACCACCACGTTGCAGACTTTCAGAGGTTTGATTATTTTTTAAATGAAAAGGAAACCAACTCTATTATTGGCACCGCCCAGTTTCTTCAGTCTCAAGCTCAACATATTTCGCCATATAAAATAAAGACGGCTAGAACCCTAGGGCGGGGAGGCAGTTAGTACACTCTCAGTCCTAGCCCAGGTAAATACAATCACATGGGAGAGGGGCCGGACTGAGCAGGTGTTTCTCCGAAACTTCCCAAAACGATCCCAATGTGTCAGGGTTAAGAAGCATGAGCCAGAAGGGACCCAGCAGTTAGCGTAATGGCTATGTCGCTGGACTCCCACGTAGTCGACTGCGGTTCACGTCCCGGACCCGGTGGCTTAACCTCACACCGGGCACGTGTGCATGTGTGCCCAAGATCCCGAGAGAAGAATGGAGGAGAAGGGACTGCGGCTTGACCATCCCCCCTTGGGGGGTGATTTCTCGCTTTCTGTCTCTCTGTCTGGCGAGCGCATGCGCCCTACAGTAGTGAAAAACCTCTCCAAAAAAAAAGAAGCATGAGCCAGCACTGTCATCACGGAGATCCACCTGCGGCGATCTGTTCAGGAGCGTGTTTCGGCTTCCCTGTCCTGTACAGACGCACAGGCCTGGCCGGGTGACAGGTCTGGGCGGGCCTCCAGGTTACTCACCCGCTTCAGGTGCAGCTCCCGGAATTTGCGCAGCCTCTGTTCGCGCTTCTGGGCAGCTAGCTCCTCCGCTGCCGTGAGGGGCCCCTCCTCCGCGCCGTCCACCAGCACCTGCGGCGGAAAGGACTGGCTTCAGGCAGGGGCGGCAGGGCGGCTCCGCTTCTTCCCGGACAGCCCAGGCCGATAGCCGTCCGTCCCGAAGGGCCGAGCCAGGGCCCTCCCAATGTCCGCGCCCCCTGCCAGCACCCGGGATGCGCCTCCAACTCTGGTCCCTGCCTCTCCTCGAATTGCCGGCTCCACCTCGGGTCCCTGCCTCTCCTCGAATTCCCACAATAAAATCGCCTAGGTAGGGCCGGTGACACTCACCTTCTCTGCCTCGGTCGCAGCCGCCATCACAGCCCCCCTCTCTCCCCACTTCCGGCAACAACAGCAAGCACTTCCGTCCGCCAGGGGCCGCCCGGCGGAAACTCACAAACGAGCTCCTATAAGCCCCGCCTCTTCCTGACAGCCTCAGTAACTTGGAACCAATCCCTGCCCCGTTGGGAAGTGAGATG